AATATCAAACACCATTCTAGCAGAAAATGACTCAATTTTAAAGAAAACAAAAAAAAAAAAAAAAAAAAAAAAAAAAAAAAAAAAAAATATATATATATATATATATATATATATATATATATATATATATATATATACACATTTGAAGCTTACAAACGTTTTTTCACCGATTTCCTTTTCATCAAGTACTAGTGCATTTGTTTTCTGTCTCCGTGCAAATCACGCGTTTACTCATTTTCTTTGCACCATCTTTTCCTAAGATTTTTCCATTCAATATTTTCTTATAAGCCAATATCTGTGGCAGCTTCTTTGTTTAAGACACTTTCAATTAAATACACTGACAGTCAATGAAAACGCATCATTTAGGCCTATGTATCAAATAATATTTTAAGTTCCTTTGGCACATTAAGAAAATAACAGTTTTCGTGTGAAATATGACCCATTATTCAGTCACACAAGGTCAAATAAACAAACAATGACCAAACAAGTGCATTTGTAGGCCTACTCCTTTATATGGTTGGAATCGATTCTCAGTAAAAAAAAAAGTACAAGAAAGTTTTCTGATGCGTGTCAGTATATTTAAAACATTTTTCGACATCATTCTTGTAAAGTTCCCAATGCTGGGTTGCATCTGTTATCATGGATGCATTTTGAGGTCAGGCGTTCTTCGCTCTTCAAATACTAGTAAGGAATCGACTTTTCTTGTCTCACTCAAAACTGATGATCATTTCTTCGGTCGAAGTGACATGTGCACATGCAGCAAGCTGATCATACACTCATTGTACAGTGGGTATCTATACCGTATAGACCCTCTACATGCTCCCCCTCCCCCCCCCCCAACGGTCGAACCAACACCAAAAATACACTAATTTCCATTGTAAATGACTTAATTTCCATTATAAAACAGAAACAGAAACGTGATTTAAGTTTGCAGTTTGTAAATTGATTTTATAATTAACGCGGTATGGTGTTTTCTCTGTAACCCGGATATATGGGATTTCGAGGTCGGGCGGATTTCGCTCTTCAATACAGGCGAGTGATTCACATTTTTAATCTGACAATAAACTGATCATTTCTTAAGGCGAGGTCAAGTGACATGTGCATGTAACTGGATGATACAACAGTAATTTTACAATTGGTATATAAATATTAACCTATGTCCACTCCCCCCCCCCCCAACCCAACCGTCGAACCAGAATCTAAAAATACTCATTTTCCCTTGTGAAATACTTAACTTCCATTATAAGACAGTAACCGGAAACGTGATTTAAGTTTGCAATTTTGTTAATTGATTTCATAATTTGACGTACAATGTCGTTTTCTCCGTGTCCTGAGATATCAAGGTCAGGCGTTCTGTGCTCTTAACAGGTGAGTGATCGACATTTCTAGGTCGTACGTTAAATTGGTCATCTCTTCGGCCGAAGCCAAGCGACATATACATATAACCGGTTGATCATACATCCACACTGCACTGGGTATAAATGTTAGTTTTGTTACCCTATGCTACACCCACCCACTTTCCACGGTCGGACAAGAACACTCATTTCCGTGGTAAATGAATTAATTTCCTTTATGAAAATTGACGGGAAACGTGAATTCTGAAAAAGCAATCAAGTAGGGGACTGCTCTATAAAAGGAATTAATTATGCAACGTTGCCATGTCAGTTCTCCTGACAGCAGACGAGAATGTTATTTTCGGGTTTAATTGTAGCCTCGCTCTTGACTCATTTCTCTGAGGGAAGTTATGGAACGGATAAGCAGGGTAAGTCCCTCTCTCTCTCTCTCAACCTTGGCGTCACTACCAGTACCAATCTTATTTTTTACTGGTGTACGGAATTTTGGTGCAAAAGTCATTTTTTTCGAGGGTCCTGAATACATTTCTTACTAACTACATTTGAGCTAGGGCATCCCATCTTGTTGATTTTCAAACTCCCAAACTTCAAACTATCAGATTAACAACTTAATTGCGTCCAGTTTAATGGTCATTCAAAATCAAATATTAAAATAATCATAGACTTAATTTGAGCAGGTACACATTTATAGGTATATCAGGATATTTCTTTTCTCTTGTCTACTGCACTTATTCAATTCACCCCCCTTCCCTCCCTCACAGCCCCTCAAAACTCCCCCACCACCAATATGCCCCAGACTTTGAATTATTGATAAGTACAGGTTGTGTGTTGACGTGTGTTACGGCTCGATTTTGGTATAAAAACTGTAAATGTTCCAGTTTAAAAAGAGTGAGAACTTGACTTATATTAAACTTAAAATAACTTTTTTTCGTTCCGTAGAGGCATATACTTCATGCAAGGCTATCCTTAACGCGAACCCAAACGCTGCAGGCGGGGAATACGCTATCCTCACCAACACAGGCTACCAACGTGTTTACTGTGAGATGGGAATCAACGGGGGAGGGTATACTTTTCTTTCACGACAGGCGATCGTGACGGGTACTAATCTTAACCTGGCCAGCATTTTCACTGATAAATCCCACGTGTTGCTTCGTATTTCGTACGACAATGGTAGGCAGCCGTTCACCGTCCTGCGACAGTTACAGCGATATGCCTCCACCCCCCTTTCAGTTCAGATCAACTCACATTTGGGATACACGAACCCTGTTAATAGGGCAATGGGGCCGAAATTATTTCTGGGATTCCTGCCAGCAAATATAGCTAACAACCCGAGTTTCAAATTTCAAGGTATAAGAAGCAACGGTAGAGCAATCACGTTCAACCATTGCGGCAGTAACCCGGCCAGTTACTTCGCTCTCTTTCCAAATCATCGTGAAGTGCCACCAAGTTCCTATGGAGGCTCTGGCATTGGAGCCAATTTCTATGGCGCATGGCTCAACTCCGCCAAGCCAGTGCCATCTGGACGCACGATGCCTAACGAGTTTTTCTTCTTCACCGAACTCCACTTTGGAGGATGTGGTGCCTATACCAGTAGCGATAAGTGGGCGCGTGCAACGGGCGTGGCCATAGGGTTTCGCTAGTTCTGTTGCAAACGCGGACAGAGAAACAAAAGTTAGAGATGCAGAGCAAAGACCCTGACATCAAAATTTCACCATTCCCTTTAAATACTTCGATGATGAAGACATTGCTTTAGATATAATGAAGACGTGGAATAAAGGTGTTTTGGTGTAATTATTTTATTCTCATTTATTATTATTATTATTATTATTATTATTATTATTATTATAGTTACCCCAAAACATAGTTATAAACCTCATTTAGCTAGATGTATAAGTACATGTATTTTTTAGAATGAAGAGTACAGGAGCAAAAATTAATACATGAAATAAAAAAAATCCATAATGCAAGTAAATAAATAAATAAAGAAAGAAAGAAAGAAAGAAAGAAAGAAAGAAAGAAAGAAAAGTATTTAAAAATTAAATAAGTGCACGTGTCCAGTAATGAGATGCTGATAGAAAAATCCAAAATTTTGAATTTTTAAATAAAAAAGTGAAATTTAATAATAGGCTGATTGAAATCGTTAGCGTAATTAATGATGGGGGGGGGGGAATAATTGTTAAACCATAATACCAACAATCAAAGACACTACAAATATGACTACAAAAGGTCTGTCAGTAAATCCAGAACTGGCTGTCAGGGCTGATGAGGTGTTTTTCTTCATCCGTAATGTCAAGGAATAAGTCAAATCGACGAAAATCTCACCAGGACAACAACTATAAGAAATCGCATTTCGTTTCACTGCAGTATATTGTACAGCCCAGTCCCGATTTGGCTCCAAGTTGCTTAGATCCATTTTCTGAGCCCCGTAGGCAAGGTTTATTTCCTTCTGATTATACGACCATGATCCAAATTTGAGGTTGCACTCCTGACTGTAACGCCCAAGATCAGTATTACAATGAGCGCTGAAACAGGAATAAAATCAGATCATATGGTGTCTAGCACCCCATTCTCATAGATTAGATCGACCTACATTGGATCGACCTAACTCCCTGGGGGTTCACGCTAAATAGCTGTCAGCCGGGCGGACACGAAAGTTAATTATCCCTTAAAGCTTGTAGTAGGCGGGGACGGACACTTAAGGGGGATTATCTGACAGTAATCTAGTGAGACTCCCCGCGGTGATAGATCGATCTAAAAGTTGTGAGAACAGAGCCTAGGATCTATGATCTATGATTTTCTTTTCGAAACGGTTTGACAACACAAGACCTATGCATTCAACAATCACCCTGGGGGGTTGTAATTGTCTCGTTATATTTTGATGAACATATGGTGCAATGGTCTTATGCCTACGTTTGCAAAGCAGAATTAAGTTACTGGCCCAGCAGAAATTTCCAAAAACAAAGAAATTAGAGCTGTTCATTTGAACAAATATTAAAAAATATGGAAACCATGAAGTGACTCCATTATGTCCAGTTTTACCTGTGCTGGTATACAGGTATCCAGACCACCGTGCCGTCATGGGATACTACTGCTCTCGGGTCCAACAGCAGCTTACTGGCACCGCGTCTGAAACACAGCATAATTAAATAGCTGACATCAACGCTACCAATGTATATGTACTTTTCATCAAAACATGAAAATACAACATTAACAAGTCCGGTATCCACTGCACACTGGAAGCGCAATTATGACCTTTTTTTCTCATTAAAAAAGTAAATTAACTAATTAATAAATAAACAAACAAACATATATACAAGAAGATCAAGGAAAATGAACGTGAATATATGAAATCAACTCACAGATTCAGCAGCACAATGTCTGGGAGCCAAATAAGTGAGGACATTACATGCATCCTCCGCACTCCTCCTCTGAACTGAGGATCCCACACCAGATCCCGGTCACGCCAGCTCTAGAACCATTAACAGATACATAACTAGATGGTGCCTTCAGCTCCCTTTTGCACCCCTTCACACACACACACACACACACACACACACACACACACACACACATGCATGCACGCACGCACACACACACACACACACACTTCCAAAATTCGTAAAAAGAATATCTCAGTATATCTCACAGAGGCATTACACATTTACATATTGCCCTAAAAATGTATCATATTATAAAAATGTTTCCATTTGGTCGTGATTGGAGGTGATGGCAAATACACATCTACTTTGGACCCACTGGTGAATTTAAACCAAATTTATTTCTTAAATTGTAGACAATAAAAAAAATAATACCTGGCACATATTTTTCACGGAATGGATGCTGGGACAATATACACTTTCACTTTTTTCATTGCTCGAATTTTCAGTGGCTCGACTAACATCATAACTAGTTAAAACGGACCTTTTTTCTAATTGTTTTCATGTTATTACTAGACACCAGACACATTTCCCCTACCATACGATGATACGCGTTAACTGACAAGACTTGTGAGTTAACATCAAGAGAATTGACGTGCAGCAAGACAACATCTACGGTAACTTGGACTGTATCAGAATTGTTCTTCACTGGACGAGTCCGATAAGTCTGAAGAAGGTCCCTCAATATGTGATCTTCACTGAAATGAGACAAAATCCACGAGAAATATAAAATATACCTTGGAAACTCCGGAATATCACAACGAACCCGTGGTTTGGTCAGTGCAATCTGGTAGTTACGGACACACTAACTTTGTATTGCTTAAGTGCACTTCGTGACGTAACGAAATATTTTTATTTGTGTTTTATATAAACTCTTATATTCCCTCTACGCCGACTGATTTCGAGGTAGAATTGATCGAATTTAATTATGAAAACAGCTTCTAAACGACTTCTCCTGTATTTGATGCAGTCATGTTTATCACAACCATTTTCATAATTTCAACATATGTATAAAAAATATTAATGTAGAAAAACCTGTCAGCATTGGAAATACCAATATAATTTTATATTCTCAAAAGTGGTGTTTGTTCAACGAAGCAAATGAGAAGTAATACGGACCGAGCTCGTCTAACAATATTACTGGTCTGCCACTGATTATCTGACAAACGAAAGGACCCGTCATGAACGAGACAATATTCACTATTCACTAACATATTTGATTTGTATATAGAAAATTCCCGATTCACTGAAAGTCTTCGGCGAAAAAAGTGTTCAACAAACCTTGCTCCTGAATTTCCATGGAAAAAGGCAGCGACGACTAGAAATGTAACTATTAGCTTCCACATTTTCAAGTCTTTTGTGTCCACAGCGCGCACATACTGTTCACCATACATTGTAACTAACGGGCCCTTGTATTCGAATAATTTCAACACTTCTTTTCTTTTCACTAACTAGGCTCCAAAACATGCCGAAATCAAGAACTACAGTGTATGGTTTCAACAGTAAGTTGTCGCAAAGCTAGTGATTTTCAACATGCCGACGGGCCCGTTCCAGGTCAGTTATCTGTGGCTTTTTGTTTTGTCGATCAGGTTGACACCGTACTGGAGGTTAGCCAAGGCAGCAGGATTTTCAATACCAGGGTCACTTATGTCACCCCGAACTGTAGTGATGCAAGTTTTTGAGACCAGCGCACGATGCAAACTACAAGCTGAGCCACAAATCTCGCGACACTGGTGTTGAACGATACATTTTATCACTATGCAACTATTCTAGCTCACACAAGGCGCCTCCGTTATGTATAGACCATTTCTTATCGCAACTGCCAGTCCAAATCGGAGCATTCTCTCTGCGGGATAACAAAGGCCATATTTCGACTAATTTTATTCTACTGACTTTTTATACTGACAAATGAGCTTTCCAGCCATAACTTCTGTTAGGTTCAGACCTTGTGAAGTAACAACTTGGTCTTTTCTGTTGGGAATCTTTCATTTAAATTCTTTTTTTTTTCGACTTTCCTCTCAGGTCTCGTTTTACGAAAAAAAACTTCAGTAGAAAGATAGTCACAGACCAGTATTTAAATCTCCTCAAACCCAAGATAAACCTGCTTTTTTTGACCCAATACTGTATATTCAACGCTCCAAAATCGGCTTTCCTTCCTTCGTTTCAGTGTGCGCTGGGCTAAAACATTCAACTTCATTTTCTCCAAGCAGGAGGCATATACGTAGGCAGTAATGGAAAACGCGTATCTTTCCAGCATAATTTGCTAAAGAAAAATCTTTATAACCAGAAATAAAAACTAAGGGATAAAGTAATTGCGTTGTGGTTACAAAATGTGCAGAAATCATTGAATGGTTCGCAAAATGACTCGCACTTTGATCAGATGATAATAAACGCCCTTGATTTTTGTGACTATTGTCATTCAAGTCTCCTTTGAAATCAAAACCAACGACTTCATTATGTCAAAAACACTGAAAAAGACATTTCCTAACAAAACCCCGCCGTTTTAAGTAACAAAGTAAGAACATTTGCGTTGCAAACTTCTAAAGATGCGAAAAATAAAGTGCAGGGTCGAAAGTCTTGCGATTAGTTGAAATTGTCGAGTAAGGTAGTAGCTAACGCATTTCAGTAATATATATATATATATATATATATATATATATAGCATCTGTAAACTTTATTAAGTTATATTCTTAAAACACCATGGAATGGTGAGAATTACTACATTTCATGGTGTTTGAGGACGTGCCCTCCATTAGAAATAAAAGCAGAAATCAGTATATACAAAGACGTGTCGGTTTACACATAATGGCTGGTTTTCTTTTGTATACATTTCCTCCAACAAATAAATAACGTAAAATATGTACCTAACGCCTTAATTCACTCCACTTTAAGTTTGATAAGTATTGCGGTATAAGAAAAAATCAATCAAAACGGGTCATATTTACTTCAGTAAAGCAAGAGTAATGAACAATTTCATGACAATCAGATCTTATTCCACACCTCCGTACAATAATACCATATAACAGAGATCAATGCAACGAAGTATTTTAAGGCCCAAGAATGTTATACAGTGAAAACTTTTCTTGGAAATTTTAGCCATTTTAAAATTGGAATTAAAAATCGCTTTTATCTCCATATAGAGATTGACTCAAAAAGTGAAACTTGGAACTCAAGAACGGTTTTAACAATCGTTATTTTCTCAATATTTTTTTCAAAATGCTGCATCGGTAATACTTAATTTACTAAAATGCATCTTGGTAATTGCTTTATTAAATCTCAAACGGATACACCAATATATGTGGCTTCATATTTTATTTAAACCAGGGATATTTATCATCTAGAGTAGAGCCAATTACAAATTTAAAGTAATATGTGGAATACCAATTAATTCTTCTCTTTAACTAGGTTAACTGACTAAAAAGATGTTTAAATATACCATTAAAATTGGAACAAAATGAAGGAACCAAATCCTGAACTCTTAAGTAGTTATACTCTAGTTTCTGACATAAACTGGTCAACTCTTGGCTGAAATCTCGTGATTTCCTTGTAATGGTTGCGAGGCATCTTCCTGACAAAGTCCAAATAATCGTAGAGACCAACCCGTGACTTCAGCTGTATGACAACTATGCTAAACCCTGGACAATCACTGCTGGATCTAAAAAAAAAAGCATTCTAAATAAAAAAATTATTAACTTCAATTTTTATCTAATAACTTTAACACTCATTAATTTTTTTTTTTTTTTTGCAAAACTGATGAGTGAATTAAATTTCAATTATAAATATTTTATATGTGGATGTATACTCAAAATTCGTTCTACAAATGTAAGGCCCACTCATTCTTAGCCTTAGAATTTAATTTTATCAATGTGCCTTCTCCGTACTTATAATACTGAATGAGGGCCTTCTGCAGTTCCTGGCATGCAGCATCCGTCATTCCCACAAACAGTTGGATCACAGACAAATTAGGAAGCTAAAATGAAAAGGAAAGAGCACAGTGAAAATATCTAAAATATTGTTCGTGAAAGAGGTTTTGTTTGCTATCTCTCCGATTATTTCATATTTCTAAAGTTAAAACTTGCAGTTTCATTTGGAAAATCAAAGGAGGATGTCCCCGTAGATTAGTTTATTAAAACAAATTCTGACCAAACAGCATTAAAGGACTGGGACTAATCACACCAGGGTCCTGGATAAGAAGAGAAAAATTACCTTCTTCACAGCATTGAGAAGAAGGTGCTTCTCCACTCCAGTCTTATTTGTAATGGCACACAATCTCTGCAGCTTACAGCAGTGCTGTAGTGCAGGAATGATGTACTGGCCCAACTTGCAGTATCTTTCTTCCAATCTGGATGAACACAAAGTAATATTCTAAATGTATAAACTGTACTTATAAATGTTTAAAGTAATGTTTACTGTTTTGTATTTTTTATAATAGAGTATACTGCCGGTGATGACAATTGATAATTTATTAAAACAATTGTTGCTAAAGGTTAAAATAGTACATCAAAAAAATATTTATTTAATTCTGAAATCACAGCATTTTGGTTCTTGCCTGGATAAGCATTAATTTACTCATAATCATACAATATAGATATACTTATTAGTATTATACTAGTACTTATTAGTACTATTTATTCTCTAATACCTTTTACACCTTATTACAGTCATTTATGCATCAAGGCATAATTTAAGGATTCGAGTACCCTAGATCTCATTGGTCAAATGCCACAATTCCAACTGCCATATTTGTACATAAATGTGACACACTTAAACAAAACTTTGCCACACAAACCTGAAATCAACCAGGTTTTTGCAGTGTTTCAACCCCTCTGCCAGCTGCTTGTCATATGTGCAGGCATGAGAAGGCCCCAGGCTTGCCAAAGACAGGAACTCTATCCACGGGCATGAAGACAGGATCCTATGTAAATAGTGTCCTATTCTCAAACCTAAAGAAATTGCTTGTTATTAGAAACATAAATGAAGGATTTGTAATCAGAGACATACGTAAGCTAATGTTTTCCAATCTAGAATATTTAGCATTCACAGTTATTGTAATACATCTCTGATATGATTTCAAAATATATATTGCTCTTATTCATTTTCAAAGTGAAACATCAACACACTATTTATTCATACTGGTTGATTCCCCTCTAGGTCTAGACTGAGCTTCAACACAAACTGCTACATAGTCAGCTTACTAAATCTTAAGCCCAGCTGCATACTTCATACTGGTTGATGGCCATCTTACTCCCCATCCTTCCTCCTGAGACACTTCAACTTTTAAGCTGAGACAAACTAATTTGGTTTAGATATTTTATTTGGTGTCCCTTTTAAGTATGGAGTAGCAATAGAATCAATCATCTTACCTGGCAGGTTAGCTAGAGTGAGCTGTCTAAGATGGTACCACCCACTGATGTTTTCCAAATAAGGAACATCATTCCCTATGGGCTGACCACTGGAGGAAAGTAAAAATCACTTTAGAACTAACAAACAGCAAGGTAACCAGTTTATACTTCAAGGCATGTAGTATTAATGTGCCCTAGGCGTTCACAACAAATGCAATTTTAAGCCATTGTGGTTATTCCTTTACTAAAAAAAAGTTGTGGCATTTTGTTAAGACTTTAGTAAAGATTGCATGTATTTGGAAGGAAAATAGGAAGATTTAAGAAAGGGATGCCCCATCAATAGCCCTTTTAATGTTTACAAGGGTCACATATATTGGTAATTTGGTAGAATGCATTCTTAAACTGACTGGAAATATCTGTATCTAGTGTGCATCAAAATAATGATTCAAAAGACTGGACCTTGATAAGAACTCATTTTATACTTGTAAAGTCACTATTTCATGATGCTACAGACACACTTACCAATAAACTCCATCTTTAATCAACACATCAAAATATTGATTAAAAACAGGGATAAAAGGTGCTCCCACAAGATCAAACACTTCCATCCTGGGACATGAAAGTACCATCTCCTTAAACTTGACCTCTGTATTGTTTGGGGTTGCACCAAGTTGGGAATGGCTGTTTTTTCTCTGAAGGTAAAACAACATGTTGGGTGCCACTCTTTAAATGAAGATCAGAGCACAACCTGATGATTGCATTAGCTGTTACAGTATGACTGTCTCACTTAGTCTATCAAAACAATGAAAAACCTTTTTTTTAAATTCAACAAACCCTGCAACATCACAATGAATCTACAGTACTGTTCTTAAAAGAAGCTCCTACTTTACAGCAATTTAACTTAGGCATCTAGTCAACTCTCTAATTTGAAAACGTTTTACTAATTTCTACCCTAGGTTCTAGATTCCGGTATTGCCAGCTCGATCTTGATTTCATATATAACCCATATCAACAATACCGGTGTACCATGAAAATCTGACTCCCCTAAAATCTGACTCCCCAGTCAGATTTTCATTATGAAAATCTGACTCCCCAGTCAGATTTTCATAATGAAAATGTGACTCCCCCTATGAAATTTTGACTCCCCCCAAAAAAACATTCATTAATCTCATTTTATTTGAGTAAATGACTATGATTTTGTAGTATGCATAATGGATGATACATTGGCATTTTTTTGTAGTTTGCAGGTGAAAATTTTCATTAAAAAAAAAGAAAAATTAAAAATGTGCACATAATGAAAATGTGGTTCCCCTATGAAAATTTGACTCCCCTACAAAAAAACATGCATTAATCTCTAATTAATTTAGTATATGACTGTGATC